TACAATAACTGGCAGAGCAAGGGTAAGCTGATAGAAGGTGTCTGCACAGCATGTACATACAGGGTGGTTGCCAACATAAAAAATTTGAAAATAAAAATCATACAAAGTGAAGGAAGGCAGAGGAAGAGAGGGAAGGAGGGCAGAGAGAGAGAGGAGGGGAAGGGGATGAAAAATGAATTGAGATGTGTTATCTACAGGTACCAGTTCCGCACAAGGAGTGAAATAATTATGAACTGCAAACATATGCTAATAAAAACTAAAAGTTGTAAAACAGTAAAATAAAAATCAGCTTATATTTTAGTATTATAATTCACCTACAATCTAAAAATCATCAGTGACAAAATATTTCTCCATAACAAGATCCTTTTTGGTCTACATTCTAAAATATTCCCACAGTTACTGTTGAGTTTAATTATGTAGAACATTTTAATTACTTATCCTTTAATAAATCTTGCAATGTAAGTGGAAGTTAATTCAGAGAACTTCCAGTTGTAGGATGGGTCCTCAATTCAGGTGGTCTTGGCTGCACATATTTAAGTGTTAGCTCCAACAGTTTGGAATTATCTAAGTTTGTTTCAAGTACAGTTTGTACCTCCAGATCTTGGAGTATTAGATATTTCTCCACTAAAACTGTAGATATGAGGAAGCTATGTTAGCAGTGTATCTGAAAAGTTGTAGAAATAGATTTTGGGTTTCAGAGTAGGCTATCTTACGTGCAAAATTTTAGTTCATCTGGGCTCTGTGGAGGATCTTTGGAGATACTCTAGTATCACTTAAATAGAAAGCAAATATTTCTGTGTAAGCATGTATATATTCCTTTAAAAAGTTCCATAGGTATAATCAAAGGTTTTTGTAACCCAAACTACATAAAGAATGCTTAGCATATCCAATATTTCTTTCATATCCCACGATTCCATGGTTTTATAATATGCAGAGCCATGTGGGAAAAAAGTATACTATAAAAACATTTCTCAGTATTATAGTGATATATTAAGTGTGTGATGTATGCCATTTTAATTATAAAATGTAAATTTCCAAAAGCAAATTTAAAATCTAAGAATATTCATGTATTAATAAACAACATGTCTTATATAAATGGATGCTCCCATGCACAAGTGGACCCTTTGTGTAAACATTACGGATTTAATGATAGTGAATATCTGGAACGTCAAAACTTTACTGTTTTTGAATAAAAGTTTGGCTTGAAATATCCACATGGATACGATGTTGTTTCAGATCTGAAGTTAGAGTCATAGAGTTTTGGTACAGGAGGGATCATAGTAGAGTCTGAAGTTTATTCTGGTTTGTAGCAATGGCTTTAAATGTATACAATATAAAGTGTTTGCCTAATGATTTATCTCCAGAAGAATAATACTAGTTAAAATATTTAGTTATTTATTATATCTAAGCGCATGCTTTTGTGAATTGTCTCACTTATTCTTACAATAATCTATTAGGTCAATATCAATACAGGTCCTATATTACGTGTGAAGGAACTAAGACCTAGGTAAGTTAGAGAACTTACTCAAAATAATAGAGTTTTAAGGTGGAACATGGAGATTCTAATTCAGTCAGTCTTTCTCCCCACAAACCATGTCTGCTAAACCTCCAGCCTAAACAGATTCCTATCATAATGTGGCTTAATTTTATTTGTTCCAAAAGAGATTATACACAAAAAGGAGAACATATATGTATTTTCCTTGTGATCAATTATATATGTGTATATATTATATAAATGTGCATTCATTATTTTCATAGGTTTTGAAAAATCATTTGACTCTTATGAAATGTAGATGTATAGATAGTAGAAGTTTTAGCCTATGATTACTAGAAAGTAGAATGCGATACAAGAACTTATGTAACATACATTGTTGGGAATTGTGATTCCAGGGAGCATATGAGAGCCAGAGGGAAAGATCCAGGCAAGGATGGAGAGCCAGCCTAGGGCATGCTATTGAGTTGGCCACTGTTTTAGCAGAATGGCTATTTCATTAAGAAAGACCACTTGAGAAGCTGAATACAACATATAACAGAACCTTGAAACATTCCCAGAGCATTTATCAATTGGTCAAAATTTTCCACAGTGTGTTTAATCTCTCACATTTCTAGGTTTCAGTTCACACTCAAACCTCAACCAAGATGTCCTGGGTTGATAGGTGAGCTGCAGGAGAAAATTAGGCTGAAGCACAATCAGATGGCACCCAGGCGGAGCTAGCTGGAGTCCACTTAGAATCAGATGCCACACTGATGGCTAAAAGGAACGAGTAGGCCAGAGAATTTGAAGTGGTGAATGTGAAGTGTGATCTAACAAGTAACATGTTTTAATTACTCTAAATATGCAGTTTTTCATTTTTGGCTTCCTGTCTTAGCTACCTTTTTCTTGCCGGGGCGAAATACTTAACAGCCAACAGTTAAAGAGGAAAAGGTTTATTTTGTCTTACAAATTGTAGAGGATTCAGTCCACAGTCGGCTGGATCCAAGGTAGGTTGGCATAGCAGAATGGCATCACAGAGGAGAAACAGTCAATGGCAGAGAAAGTCAGAGGCAGCATGCAGTAAATCTCCTTTTCCCTTTTATCCCATCCAGGCTACAAGCCTTTAGGGTGGTACCACTCACACCAAGGGTGGGCTTTCTCATTATCTACACCCAGAACTATGCTAAATCAAGCAGTGGACTAATTTAGTTAGCATATCCTTAATTCATATTCTCATACCCTTAATCCACATTGACACACCCTAGATCCAGCCACCTCTGAAAAGCCCCACCTACGAGTCTATGAGGCTTTGGGGGACATTGAGATACAAGCCATAACCCTTTCCTCGGAAGACTTTGTCTTATCAATCACATTCTTCATATGCTCCTCTAAAAGAAGAGTCTATAGATTTTATCATTTTTTCATTCTTTTTATTTACTAATATTTACTGAATGTTCCAGGTTTTTACTGGGACAGAAGTAAAAATGCAAATATGATACAGATTCTCTGCTGTCATAAAGTCACTGTGCCTTCAACAGTACTGGGTATTTCTTAAAGAAATGAACTGGCTTTCTAATATCATGAAGATTATTAGCACAATGAGTATTAAAATGCTGTGCAAATCCGAAGTGACCAGAGGATTTTCTTACTAGATCTACCATGCTACCAGCCTTGTAGGAAGTCACTTATCCATGGGCCGTAACGTTTATTTCTGTTCTGGGAGTAGAGACTGTTTATTATCTATGTACTGGCCAGTGATGGGGAGTCTGAAATTAAGACAGATTTCTGTACTTATGAGTAAGGTGCCTCCGAGGCATAAGAGAACATTTTGAGGAGCCAAGATCCAGGAGCATCACCAGCATCCCAGCTACTCCTCCGCTCACCTGGCAGTCTTCCCAGCAAGAAGGTGGAAGATGCCCTGTGTCACTGCCAGCACTTCTTCTCTGAGCATCCCAGTGGCCAAACAACCACCAGCTGACTCTACCCACTGTGCTGCTCACAGGAGTCAACTCCTTCCTGCACTTCCACATAAGCACTTGGGCAGGAAATACATTGATTCATTAAAATCTTTCAAGCAAAGTTAGCCGCATTCTGTTGGTTACAGGGAAAATGCCATGTCAGGGACATATTTATATGGCAGTAAACTTTTAATGCCTTAGAAAGCAGCTAAATAGATAAAATCAGAATAAAATTATTCAGAAGACAAGGTTTTAGAGAGCAGGTAAGTTTTCCTAGCCTTATTGATGGTTTTCATCACTCCAGATCCATCTTCTGGCCTTTCTGACAATGAAAACCACAGTAACATCATGCTTATTACCCCTGAATTAGCTGATGTATGGGGAGCTGTCACTGCTCCTTAGTGTTCTCATTAAACTCTCAGGGCAGAGTGACCAGCTTATGCTTGGTGCTTTAGGGGGCAGTCAAGGCAGCGAGGAGGCCTGAGATTTTCAAGGGGTCTTCTCACAGTCTTCCCCTGGGGAGTGGAGGGCCTTTGTGTAACTTCCAAGAGGACAGAGGCTTCAGGCTGGACCTGGAAGGCCAGAAAGGTAAACTCACTGGGCACATCAAAGGGCTTGATCTAGTGAATGAACACAAAGCCCTCTAGTAGCAACCCCTATCTCCTCCCTAATGAGGACTCCCCGGTTCAAAATAAGGAATGACCCCCCCCACACACACACACACAGAAACTACTCAGGAGTGAGCACCAGAGCTAGCGTTAGACGCAGATGTGAATCCTGTGCATGAGTGGGTGAGTGGATGTGCAGGGCGTGTCTGGGGGTGGGGTGGTCAGGGATGCCTCTGTGCCAGCAGGAGAAGAAAGATGGAAATGTCAAGCTGCACTGGGCGGGGCAGGGTGGGTTCTGGGGCTGCAGCCTTTGGGATGAGGTATGGTTAGGGTGGGGATGGGGGAGTTCCATCAAGGATCCCACTGACTGGGTGGGCGGTGCGGAAGTTACAGGAACAGAACGACTAGTTGAAGTTGAAAATCATGAAGCCCTGGATCAGTCACTCATGCCTTTTAGATCGGTTCTCCTTCATTTACACACACACACACACACACACACACACACGCACGCACACACGATGCTTTGTGGGAAACTTCATGGATCTAAAAAGGTGTGGAAGTAAAAGGAAACCTGGCTCAGAAACACAATTTTAGTAAAGAGACACAATATTTTTGATAGTCTAATCTTCAGGCTAGCCTTGGGAACCTTCCACAAACTACACCAAGCTCGCGGTGCCTCAGTTTCCTCATCTGCCCTTTGGAAACAAAATGCAATCTATGCACAGGGTTGTGTGCGAGTCAGCCTGAATGTGGTGCGTGTGAGCTCTCTAAAGGTGACAGATGCTCTTCCCGCTGCAGGAAAGCACATTGGTGTTATCCAGGAGGTGTGGAGGAAGACTCCAGCTCTAAAATTAGTCCAGCTTCCAGGCCCGGGGACCGGGAGCGCCCTCCAGCTTGCCACGAATTCCCCGCATCCCCCGCCCGCTCGCCCCCTCATCCCTGCACCGCGCCCGCTCGGAGATCGCCAGTCAGCCCCGACGCACGCGGACGCCTCTCTCCCCCTCGCCCCTTGCGTTAGCGGTTTGGGAGGAGGAGCCCACGAGAGAAGCAGTGAGAGGGGGGAGAGGCGAGGGGCCGTGCGTCGGCGTCTTCTGTGATGGGGAACTCGGAGCGGTAGGAGGCGAGCAGTAGCGGCGCGGCTGCAGCTCTGAGCGGACCCGAGAGCCCGCGCTCCTCCCGGCAGGCTGCGCTGTGATCCGGGCTGCGGATTGGGATCTAGCTCCCCCGACCCTCTCCTCCACCGCTGTTCCCTTCCTCCGCCTGCGAACCTGCTGCGGTGGCGTCTGGAGCGCCGAGCGCCGAGCGCCTCGGCTCGCTTCCCCAGGCCCGGGAGCGCGCGCGGGCACTGCGGCGGCAGCGGCTGGGAGGCCGGCTCGCCGTAGGCGAGAGCGCCGGGGGAAGACCACGGGAAAGCGCCTGGTGGAGCCGTGGATCTCCGGCTGAGGCAAGGGTGCGTGGGGATTTTGAACGTGAGGGTTTGGCTGCCCGGTGCACCCTCCGGAGCGCGCCTTTCCGAGCGTGGCCCCAGCGGCCGAGTGCAGAGGGGCTGCGAGGTGGGCTCCGGAAAGCGAGAGCCGGCTGAGCGCGTGGGGAAACTTTTCACCTCGTAAAGTTCCTGCCTGGGCGCAGCCGGGAGCCACGGTCACCGCAGCTGCAAGGCAGGAGGAGGCTCGGCCCTGCGGCGGGAGCCGGGAGGGAGGCTGCCAGGGAGAGTTGGCCAAGTTTGACGCTGGAGATTTAGGAAGAAAGCGAGAGAGGGGTTGCAGATGGGTGCACCCATCCCCGTCCTCCCTCCACCAGCGCCGGTTGCCGGCTGCAGGTGGATGAGAAATCCAACCAGGACCCCAATGGGTGTCGGGTGCTCGCCGGGCGCAGTGGGGGTGTTCAGATGCCTGTGGATGCACTTGGGGGACCTGGAGGCGCAAGTTGGGTCCTTGGTATACCAGGCACCGCGCAGAACAGATAGCCCACCATCCACTATCACCGGAAAAGAGGAGAAGGGTAGCTGACAGTCAGCGGGCCCACTCTGCATGCCCGCCTCCGGCTTGCTGGGGTCGTGGGCAGCATGAGGAGTACTGAATGGCAACGGCCCTTGGCCTGGGGGTGACAGCCTTTTGAGTGGTCTTGAAGAGGGACGATTGCTGATACCTTGACATAAGAGGGAAACGGAATGCGTTAGGAGAGTGCTTGATTTCTGGTGCGTGCAGGGTAACTGCTGATCTTTGAAAAGGGTCTGGCTGTCCGGGCATGCCCAGCCAACCCTCTCCCGGTCGAGGTGGGAACGGGAAGGCGCACCAGGTAGGCGCTCAGGGTCCCTTTCCCAGAGGTAGAGTGAGTGCACCCTGTCGTCGGGGTCAGTGTGTGCAGGGATGTGCGGGACGCGGGCGGGAGGCAGCAGAGGTAGCCGGAGCCCTTCCTCGTGGCCCTCCGTGAGTGAGAGGATTTGGCCAGTGGGGGTCGCTGAGCTAAAGTGCATCAGGGCCCAGGCTTACTCGAGGTGGCGAGCCCGGCTATTTTTAGCAGTACTGTGTTCTGTATTCACCCCTCCTCTCTTGCTGACTTTTGTCTTGTGTGCTTTCCGATATGGTTAAACACTGACCACGGTTAGACTTCGTGGAAAGCAACTTGAATCCACTTTTCCATACCCCACTGTGGTGGGCGGGGTGACGCTTGGGCCAAAGGATTCGGGGGTGGCCTGAGTTTGGCCGCCGCTACCTACCAGACCTCTCGGGTCAGCTGCGATGGGGGTGGGGGTGGGGGTCCGTGTGTGTGTGCCTGTGTGTGTGTGTGTGTGTGTGTGTGTGTGTGTGTATAGGGCCGCGCGCGCGCTGGAGGTGGCGTCCTGAGGCTGAAGATAAGTATAATAATGGGGGCAAACCAGACAGTGGGGGAGAGTGTCCCTGCCTCGGATGTGAAGAGCGCGAGAGGCTGCGCTACTCGGCGAGATGGCCCCGGGGACTAGGAGAGGTTTAGGAGGGAAAGGCGCCTGCTTCTTGCAGAGTGGGAAGCCGGTTCCTGGTCCGCCGAGCCCGCCCGGTGACAGCTCACTCCTGGGCCAAGGCTCCATCTCGCCGCCTCCCACGCGCCGACCCGGACTCGGTTCTGGTTTCCGTGAACCTACGGCAGCCGTGGGTGCGGGGAGGGGCGCGGGACAGCGCTAATGACTGAAGAATCTTTTCTCCTCCTCTCCTCCTCCCCGCCCCCATACTCCCGCGCTTTCTTTCCAAGTTGGATCCCGCTTGCATTTACAAATGTCAGACAAACCCGAGCTAAACTCCCCCTCTCGCTGGGTACCGGCGGGACGGGGGAGGGAGTGCCTGGGGACAGGCGAGCTGTCCCGGCAGAGCCGAAAGAGATGGACGTTCTCACTCCTTGACCGGCTTGAGTTGCTAGTTCTTGGACCTTGATGCTTAAAAGATGTATGCATAAACAAATAACAAATCGTACACTGATCTTGGACCTTTGGATTCCGCCGCTTTTCTCCTCCTTGCCGGGGAAGTATTCGGGCCCCCAAGCTTGTCTTTTCCAAGGCAAGTGGTGGTGGTGAGAGGAGGGCGGTTGGGAGCCGGCCGAGCGGTTCTGCACGGTGGATTTGTGCTCCTGGCTTTGTTGCCAGGATTAGATTCCCTCGGATTGCCCGGGCCAAGTTAAACGCAGAGACTGAGAATGAGCCAGAAAGACTACAGATGACTTTGCCTGGATTCAGGCAGCAAAATCAGGTGGTGGAAAGGGCAAGCCCGCCATCTAGGAATTTGGAACCAAGATGCTCACATCTCAGCATGGATTAAAGGAACTCCGGATTTCATCTTCACGGGCAGGCATTGAACTTGTCTTCGTGTTATCGAATGCTTGAATGATGTTCTAGTGTGACGTGAAGATTTGAATCTAATAAGGACAGAAAGGGAGAGAGAAGAGACTGAGAGCTAGAGATTCTGCAGGATCCTAGAAACTGCCCAGAGCCAATTGCTTCTGCTTTTTTTCCTCTTTTCTCCCCCCCGCCCCCGCCACCTTTTTCTAAATTGGAGCAGTTTAACAGTGAGAGAATAAAGAACAACCAAGAAAACCAGGGCACAAGAGACAAAGATGAAAATGCATAACTTCAGCTCTCTGATGTGTTTTTTTATCTGTTGGGGTTGGGTTGGGTTTGGGGAAGGTTTTTTTTTTTTAGTAACATTTTTTAGGGAGAAAAGTTGCCTTTGAAATAAACAGGATCCTGATATTCAATCATGAATCCCTGTTGTTGTTTTTTTGGCCTGTGAACAATGAGTGATGCAGGGCCAGTTTGTATGCACAGTGCACTGGGATGAGACAGTTCCCAGAACTGTCCAGTCCTAACGTCTTCATATCTGAACCACGCAGAGAGTGCCTCATGAAAGGCAGCTGTCTCAGAGATCAGAAGCTGGTCAGCTGCTGGGCTGGCTCCATGTCTTGTCGCTGCAGGATTTTCCCAACCAGTGTTTGTTGATCAGTGACCAGCTATCAAGCCTTATCCTTCCTCACTTTCTTTTTCTTTTCCTCCTTTTCTCCCCCCCCCCCGCCCTTTCTTATTGTTTTTTATTTGATTCCCGGCAGAATGATTTTAGGATTTTTTTCTTAATAGTCAGGACTCTGTTAACTGGCAATTACAGTTGTGCTGAGCTACTAAAAATGAAATGAATAGCAATAAACAGAGTGGATGCCCACTGACCTGTGTGTTATATGGTTATATTGCTAGCCTGCAGCTTTTTGCAAAGCAGGGGCTCTTCAGCTGCTCACGTAAGAATATTTCAATGCGTCAGGTTGTGTTATCTTCAGCCTGCCTTCTTCCCATGCTGCAAAATGACCTTCTTTAATCTGACTGATGAATGATGTCACATAGAAGAAGGCAATTACCAGTGAGGAGAGGATATTCAGTTATTAACAGCTAGTCTGAGGAGTGCTCTCCATGCTGGTTGTGTTGTATACTTTATTGATGGTTCAATATGCACAAAGACCATTGTGGCTTTATCTTACTATTTGGGAAGATAAGTATGGTATTCCTCTGAACCCAGCTGACTGGTATATTGGCTTTTTCTTCCTGGGTAAGAAGGAAAAGGATAACACTGGGGATCTGGATTTCTTCAATTGTGAATCATTGCCAGGTTTTTCATTCTGCAAGAACATTGAGGGACATCAGATGGGATCAGGTGGACCATTCCATTTAAATTGATTTCCTTTGATTCCTTCAGAAGACTATTGAATCAGTGCTTTTACTAATTGTGGCAAAGACCAGAAGTGGAATAAATTTTTAAAGAAAAAGGATCTGACAGACCTACAAAAAAGGATTGTGCCCTGTGTCCTTACAGAAAAGATAGTCTCTGATTTCCAGAGACATGAAGAGTCTTCACAATATTTAAAGAAGAAACACAGCCTTGTATGTGTTGTTTTGCTTATTGATAAAATTTTTTGCCATGGTTACTAGATCTCTAATTCTTTAATATGTCATATTGGCATCTTTCTACCCAGTTACAAGGACTGTGTATATATTTTTTAGCTCGACCTCTTGAGAATCACCACAGTGTGAGTTTCCCCATGAACGCTCTTAGTGTTAATAACCTGTGTTTTACTCAATTTGATTTTATAGGCTTTTCAAATTTATTGATTTTTCTGATTACCTTCTCATTTATTAAGCTTCCTACCCGCCCTATCATTGCTTCCTTTCCAAGAATAATCTCAGGAAAGTTTTCCCTTCCTTTCTAAAAAGGCCAGTTTAATGCCACAGATTTGAATTTATTTAGAACATATTTGACACTTCACTAGTGGCCTCAAGCCAGTTTTTGGTCTATCAAAATAGGCTATCAGTTACATGTAACAGTGACAAATGAGACATTTTAATCATTCTAAATTGAAATGGCATTCCAAGACTAGTCTTAATTTTAGTGTATTTTAAAGATTTTCTTCTTAATGTATTAAGTGGAAGAGATGAAAATTTGGGAATGGATTTACTGGCATGATGATGGTCAGAGAAAAGAGAAAACAGACTTCTAAATGTAATGATCAAACTTTGTGTAATCACAGTGTTACTTTCTTCTCTGAGTTAATATAAATGAATATGGAGACCTGGGAGGAGATCTAAGGCAGGTTGAGGGATTGTCCTTTCAGACCATGCTTCCTGAGGCTACTCCCATGCCTGTCCAGAAAAGGCTACAGAGAACCTGAGAGGGGTCTTTGAGCAGACTTCAGTATTTCACCGTTATGAGCATTCAGGATTTTGTTTCTCTTAGTTTTATCTTTTTAATTTTTATTTTGCAAAGGTACATGGAATTTAAGATCATTTCCTTTACTTCGTTCTTAAAAGCTATTTCGTGCTGTTTCTGTTTTGTTTTTCTTTGCTTCTATCTTTTAAAAATTCATTTCTTTTAAACTTCTTTTCAGCAATATTTACTGAAACTACCTCTCACAAGGCAATGGGCAGGATTTGAAGTAAAGTAA